GTTGGATTTTGTTTCAAGTTTAACTTGTCAGCTAGGTTCTTTGTAATTAGGCAGTTAGTACTCCCGGAATCTAACAAAACTCGTACGTAATGGGTATTATTTTTATAATCCTTAACTATTACTTCTGCGATTGATAACAAAGTTAAGGACTTTTTGCGATTGTAGTTACATACTAATGTTTGTTCGTCTGCAGCTTTACGAGCTTTAGCAACGACAGGTAGGTTTTGATTTTCAGAAATATGAATTAATGTATGATGAAATTTATGGCAGTGAAAACATCTGTTTTTTGAAAAACAACGATATTTGTTGCTGTGTTTCAAACAATTTTTGCATATCTTTTGCTCGTTTGTAAAATTTATGCGCTCTTCCACTGAGAGCTCCTTGAATTTATTGCAATCTGTTAAGTAGTGGTCTCCTTTGCATTGGAGACAAACCTTGATTTTTTCTTCGTTTGAGACAAGTGAAAGATGTTTAGCGTTTGAGCACCATTGATGCTGTGCATTACTTTTATCTTTAAAAGAACGAAAAGTAGAATTCTTATCCATTGTCTCGTCCATTGTATTGTCTGCATCTATATCTAATAAAAATTGTACCCTTTTTTGTAAAAACTCAATTATTTCAGTTATGCCTAATATTTCATTAGGTTTTTCCTTTTTTAGCTTCTCTTTAGTTTCAGGATCTAATTTGCTGACTACAATGTGGGAAAACAACGCTCCCGCCACCTTTTCATCACTAATGGACATATTTCGTAAACACAAAACGTGTTTGTTAAGCGAATCAGTGAATTCACGCAAACTAGCGGTTGACTTACCAACAGGTTTTAATTCAAAAACGTTTTTGATATGAGATTGGATAATCAGTTTTGGCTTATTAAACCGTTCGTCTAAAAGACCCAAAGCGATTTCATAATTAGTATCGGTAGGAGGTAAGCATGATATTAGATCACGGGCACTATCTTTTACGCATGAAAGTAAATAAAAGAACTTTTGGGATGGCGATACCTTAGCCTGGTCGACTATGGATTTAAAATTATCAATAAAAGCTAAGTAGTCGACAAAGTTTCCGCTAAATTGAGGCAAACTTAACCTCGGAAGGGACTGCTGCAAATTATTTGCAACACCGGCTTCGCTTTTAATTTTACTTGCATTTAGATCCGTTTGATTCATATCCTTTTTTATCAATCCTTTTGCTTTAGCTAAAGCGCGCATTTGTTTATTTTCAAATTGACAATAGTTTAATAATTCTAAATCGGATATTTCATCTTGGGATAACTGAATGCAAACTCGTTTGTAATCATCCAGGGAAGCTTCTGCAGTAGCCATTTTTTGATTATAAAATTCTATATCATCATTTGATGGATTATCGGGAAATTCGTTGAGTAAACGTTCAAAATCTTCAAGTAAATTTAAACATAATTGAGCTGTATTTATCAATTGCTTTGCAGCTTGTGATTCGGTTTGCTTGGGCATTTTATTTTGAACAGGAAAATACGATGTTAATACAGATAAATATAACTTGATTTGATTTGAATGAGTGGAAAATGGATAAGGGAGATGCACTTACTCGTTTTTCACATGTGGTTTAAGGAACGAGCGAGTTGGCTGCTTACTGATTGTATTGGGACCTTATCTCTTCCTAACACTGTGACTTTAGGCCTTATCACTTCTTGCAACGTGCAGATGGAACCAGATGGACGTTGTTTCGGAGTTATTCGACGTTTTTTCTTGACGTTTGTAACCTTTAGCATATAAATAACTTCGAAATGCAGATGCTACTTGTACCATTTGGAACTACTGTTCTATCCATAGATCGATTAATTCGTGGACGAAGGACCATTTATGTTTTTTACCATAGACAAAGCATAGATGTTACTTTTATTGCGACTTGAGCGAGAGTGCCCTCCCACCAATACAAATCAGTTAAATAAATTTAATATGCCAGTGGCGCAACCATGAGTGGGTATTTTAACCACTAAAATTAAAACTTAATTTTACTTACATTCGGTACATGTCCAAAACTGCTAATCCCAAATACGGTACACAAAAAAAACAACAAAATTCAAAATTACACAAAAAACACTCAAGTCGGCGTCGCGCCGACCACACCTTAGTGACGCACTTTACTGAAGATCCAAACTTCCAAAACTGCCGCAACTCGGCTTGCCACTCCGTAAAACGGAAACTCCACCAACTTCCAATGCTGCTGGCCTCTACACAATCCAAACTACTGCGGTAACTCGCCGAAGCGAAAATAAATTTCTTCATTTAACTCAAAAACTGCCCTGACTGGCAGCAAACTGACGATTAAAACTTCCAAAACAAAACTTCAAACTTCAGCAAATGTGGATCTGCTCTCAAACTCGCAAGGCGCTGATTTGAAAACAAAAAAACGTAGTTCTGCGTTGACTCTGGCAAAAAGCCCTTCCTCTTCTCAGTCCGTTCTATTTAAAGCGGAAACCCTTCTTCCAAATTACAAATTAAAACAGCCAATGATAAGCAGTTGACAACAGAAAATTTACCCCCTAACGCACGTTAAACCAGAGGTAGAAATTATTTTTATAATCAATTTTTAACCGACATTAAGAGATAACACAAAATTAAAATGCTAGGAAAAATAGAATTTTCTATTTTTTAAATACAAAGAAAAGGCGATAAATAACATCCACCTGTCAATTAAATTAAGCGTTTACAATGATAACAGAATAAAAGTGAAATGAAATTCTCACAAATCTAAGTTAAATAAAATTAAAGATGAGATTAAAATGTAAACAAATACAAACCTTGACCTCTTTCTCGTAGCAATAATTTCTGTTGAAGTACTTAACGAACGACACAAAACAAAAATTTAGATTAAGAAAATTAATTACATGGAAACAGGAAACCGCCCTTGTCCATTCTAGTTAAGAATCCCAAAATTTCGTCCTGCCAGACGAAATAACCCAGCAATATAAAAGCAAAAACGTAAGGTTAATTCAAGAAAACTTACATAAGGTTCCAAAAGTAAACAACCAAAAAGAGAAAGGAGAGAACACAAACCTCTAAAAGAATATATGTGTTAAAATAATGATGAATCATAAGCAGTACATAACTCACGGCGTAAATCCGCTGAAGAGTATTTGAGGGAACAAATCAACTACTACACCACCTTGAATGCAAATGACTCGTCCTATTTGCCAGCCAAACCTAATATAGCGCTAACGTCGTTTAAATTAAAAAAATAACTGTCAGAACTGTTACGTGCGAATCACCCCAACACACGCAAACAAAGTATTGTAACAGTTTCTAAGATCATGCAAGGAAAATTAAAAGTTCTCAAACCCACACACCTGTAATTGAAAGTAACAACAGAACCTGTTTATATTTATGCTGTACGAAACTATTAGGCACCAACTAGATTACTACATACCCAACAAATAAGGGAAAAGGGTCGTCCAGACAATTTTGAAGGATACCAATATACCATACGTATAATAGCATACTTTCATGTCCCCATTTAAGTATTGTTTTTACCAGGATTGTAATTCACTGGCGAAATATGCAGGTTATATTACCTTAGTAACTATCAACCGAGAATTAAAAAAATAAAAGCAGCATCCCAAGCATAGTAAAACCATAGTATAAGAATAGACACTATGGTAAAACACAGAGAAGAATTATAAGTGTCGTCAATCTGCATTTTAGTACTACCTATCAGAGACATTTTTTGATGGTTACTGACTGCATAAATACAAGCAATGCCTTTCGCGAATCTGACGCCATATAATAATTGTAATTCCTGCTAGGTGATATTCCTTGAAAACGCATAAACGCGCTTTTGAAATTGGAGCGATATCTCATTTCTAATTAAAATCAAATGTAAGGCAAACGTTTGAATTTCGTGAGTTAATTTTTTCATGTTCTGCATATTTTTCTCAAGTTTAGGCGAAATGTGTTAATAAAGAGGCGCGTAAAACGCACATTTCGTGCAATTGCAAAGGAAAGGGTGCAAACGGGACAGGAAGGAGAATGAGGGACCGTTGTCCAAAGTTATTGCAAATGAAAAGCTTGGCTAAATAATGCCGAATTAATTAAAGGATACTCTCAACGGACACATCTTTGATGTGAAAGAACCAAAATTGCATTTGTGGGGGAGGCCCTCAACCCAGTTCGTCTAACATTTTTTGTTAATAAACAATAAAATAATTTCGCATATGTATTGTATAAACGCGGCAGTGACTACTTATCATAAAGTGCGAAAAAAGCCGATGACAAATACTGCCACAGTACGAATGCATCGAATAAAGGACAAATATATGAAAATGGGATGGCTTTTTTACGTAAAGTATAGAGCTAGAAATGGGATCTACGCATCAGCTCGAAGATAAAACATCCGAAATTCACAGAAATTGGTTCCTTGCCAAGGCAATATATTTTTTAAATCCAAAATGCATGTCTTCAGTAAATTGCGCATAGAATACACAAAACAAGGGCAACAATAAAGTAGAGCGATTGTTTAATTATTACCTTTAACTAGGGAAGGTTATAATTCAATATTATTTAGGGAGGCGCTTAACACATAAACGTTAACTGGCGCCCTAAAATATCGCAAATTTACTTTAAGCAAGTAAAGTGATTGGACGTCCTTCCGGTTTCATGATGCGTCACGTCGTTTGTTCCGCTGATCCCGTGCGATTGCTTTGTCGACGAACGGAAAGCTTTTATTTTAGACTTTAGTTGATCGGGGGCACTTAATTTATGTATGGTTGAAATAATACCTATCAAATGAGGCGTGTAAAAGAAAATCGCTTCAAATTTGCCACAGTATTGTCTATAAAACAAAAGCTCCTTTATCATACAGTATAATGGAGTAAGAGGGACTAGTTTTGATAGCAATGGCTGCAGATGGGGTAATATTTTCTCATTGTTTGTATAAGAATATATATGAAAGTTTGGCGTGATCCCCATCCGAAGACACGTGGGTTTTAAGGGAGCTTGCGCGGGTGTAGCGCAACCAGGCTTGTTCAGATACTCCGTGCCGTTCGGAGCGAAAGCTCGTTCCGGTAATGCCCTCGGTCACTTAGTGCCATGCCGTCTACGCTACTGGTGTTGGCATTGACGCTCGCCTGGACGACAACTATCGTGCTTGGTAAGCTTTCCAAATTAATTTTGTGTCCCGCTGCAACCGACATCGATTTCAATTTCTGCCAGTAGTCTTTCAAATGAGCTCTGTGCGTTCCGCGATACTTTACTCATTACAACGCAAAATTCCAAAGTTTCATCTCAATTACAATTACCGTCACTAAATCACGTCATTTGGGAACAGATTAGTTGTTGGAAGGACCGCAGCCCTGGTTTATGTCAGAACTACACTTACTTGGAAAGTTGGGCAGTCTTGGAACTTAGTGCGACCACGGAGAGACATAACTCACAGAGGCGCTCGGTGGAACCGTGCCTAGCGTTGCACTAAACGAGTTCGCACTGAACCGAAACGTGTAGTATTTCACCGGAGCGTTTTCTACTCTTGCACGTGTTCCTTAATGATCAGCTTAAATCTCCAATTACTATTCTTTAAACAGTCACCTAAATCGAAATTCACATAGTTATCCAACATTTTCCATCGGAAACTTTCGCAATGTCTAAAATAAGTTAGACTTCAGATTTGCAAGGCGCCTTTTAGGGCAAGTGTTTGTTGCAAGTGTTGGCTACCCTCCAGTTGATGAAATGTTGGCTGCGTAACTAGCCGTCTTTGCGGCATTGCAGTAGTTTTTGATATATTAACAATTCCAAAGTCTGTTTTATCTACATGTATATCCTATTGTTGCAAAGGGATAGCTTCACACATGTGGAAAATTTAAATTAGCCATTAGGGTTTGTTGATACTATTTCTGTTACAATTGAAGCGAAGAAGTTACCGAAATGAAATTGAGCAGCGTAGCAATCTCGATTGCACCGCTTGGGAGGTTACTTTACATAGATATTGTTTTAGAGGTGTACTTACGGCACAGTTTAGTAAATAGATCTCATTATCATTCACCAGATGGGCCTTTGTTGTTAGCATGAATTAAAATAATCTGGGATTTGTTCTTGTCATTTCTATTTGGTTTGATTAAAAGTTCGTATATGAAGTGCTATGTTATAATGTGTCGGGAGTTGTATGTTTTAAAGGCTCATTAATATTCAGAGCGAGCGTTACCTATCACGTCGTCTAACCTCCACCGCTTGATTGATGAGGTAAAGCAGTACCCAATCTTTGCGTAAAATGTAAACGAACACAAGTTGATCTAAATTCTCCCTAATACATTATAGATTCCCAGATTAACTTGGTTGTAAGGTGAAACTGCAGTGCCTTTTGGGAGCAGTTTTAAAAACAGATTCTCCGCACACAACGGGTAAAAAGGTTTCTAATTGTACAATAGGCCCCGATTGCAACCGTTAATATAGCTATGTCAGCTGAATGCGGAAAACTACGAAACAGGGCAAAGTTTGGATTGGCGCTGCAGTAATGCCCTTAGTCGGCTGTTATCTCGCGCTCTTAATGAGCTGCCCAGTCGCGTGGAAAATGAACTGGTGACTACAACCCTTTATCCATTATTCGTTATCCAATACATTTACCTGCTTTCTGAACGCACCCCTTTCAGCATTTTATTGGCTTTATTTCCATTTTACCGTATGCTACCTTGGAAAGCAGGCACAGAGAATACGATATGCTTTAGAAATACCATAGTGTAAGAATAGAACTTACATTATGGAAATACATAAAAAGATTTCAAACGCTTTAAGAGAAGTAAACAACAATTAATACTGTATGAGTAATTTCAAATGCCACTGCTAAATTTGGAGATGTGTCTATTATCAACCGCCACCGGAGTTCTATAAGTCTCATTAGAATTGCCGGGATACGATAAATTAAAATTAATGACTAGCGCCGAAGTTAGATATTCGCATATGAATATTTTATTTACGTTGTCGTTCTCTGCTAGCACATTATTTGGAAAGATTGTACCTTCCATTCGATTTCTTCCATTGTTGGACGTTTCGCAAGATATTGCCGGCAAGTGTTCTATACTGCCCTTATCAATGTTATCGGCACCCTCCATTTCCTCTCGCCTACGTCTCCAGAACTACTGCGAGATCCGAACAAAATTCTTGTTATAAAAACCTCCACCCCTAACTAGAGAGAACCTTAGATATTGCGCTGCCGTGACCCCTTATCAGTAAATGGAGCAATTTGAGACCTCGCCAAATGTTCATGAATTTTTGCCATTCAAAGTTCAAACTTAACTGATTGAAAAATAGCGTACGTATATGATTTTAATGCCGTTTTCCTTTTTGTTTAGGGAAACGAGTCCGCAACACGGAGCCGAATCGAATATCAGTTATGGGAGATTTTAATCACGGTGAGCTGTTTTAATAACAATAACTATATCGAGTAGCCCTACCTATGTCGCACGTATATGACTTCTGGAGAAACTGCTATTGCTTTCATATAAAGGTTTTATATGGATAATAAAAAGGGAAACGAGATTAAGGTTCGAAGGTTGCGAACTGGAATGGGCTAATGCAGGCAGCACATTGAATACACAATGCTGACCCTTCTTTGGCTTGTTTAGATAAACTACGGTATGGACAAAACTACGAACGTTGATTGAACATTCGTCCTTACGGTTGTTGAATTGCATTCAACCCCTGTTAGCGTATTGTAATAATTAAATGTTACATACTTAAACAAAGGCACAGAGCGGTTCATTGCATATAAATTTGGCAGTTAACCGTACTTATCGAGGTTAATAATTTCTTGTTTCCAAATTTATAACATTATGTAGCGGTCCTTTTAGAAGCTACGGGTGTTCGGGTTGAAGTAACATTCAAATTTACTTAGACCTTCATCATTATAGTGTGCTAACCTTGAAAGAATTTTCGCTTTGAAATTAAACTACCTAAATATACTGTGTAGTCGTATATAGTCTTATAGTACACCACGTTAATCGACACAATTAGCTGTCAAGAGAGTTAGTTAGTTAACGTTTGTAGACTTTGCACCCTAAGCTACTGTTTACTTCTAAAACCCAATACGAATTTATTTATGGTACCGTTGACTACTTGATTTTCACGGAAAGATTTTTGTATAATTACCTAGTACTTCTAATAAGGCTTCACAGTGAACGCTGTTATATGTATTTTATGTACTTTCACATATATGCGATGCGATATGCGATTCGGGAATAAAGTTAACATTTTCACACACTCACTGTGTCTAGGCCCTGGAAAACCCTTGGTAAATACATCGGTGATCATTGCAGCCGTTGAAATGTGTTTCGCCTCAATGACTTCGTTTTTCAAAGCATCTCAAATAAAATTGGATCTTACATCGTACTCCGTACATGAAAAGTCGAATTTTCATCCAGGTTGATGGCTTCATACTCTTTCATTGGAAAAAAACTATTCCTAATTCAATAAGAAACGATTTCAGAAACGAGATGACTTGATTAGGAATAGTAGCTTCGGTCCGAGCCATATATTCCTGTTGAGGAAAGAGCTAAGGTCTTTTGTTTCCTCGAGTCCCAAGATATTGGACCTCCTCCGAAAATGAAGGCATACAAAGTATAAGATGTTCTATTAATTTTGCAATTTCCCCAGTCGCGTCAACAAAGGTTAAAGGTTTTGAGCTCTTCTTAAATGTAAGTCCTAGTTCGAAAGCACCTTTAAGATATTGTCGGGTCTGGTGCAAATTGACAAGTAAGTTAAGCCACCAACCAGTTCTCGATAGGGAATACTTGTATCAGGAGGATTGTTCCCTTTCTTCAATTTCGACGAAGTATTCGTTGGAGTAGAAACTGGTTTGGCATCACTCAACCCAAAACGGTTCAACAGTTCATTCCTGTATGAATTCACAAAAATTCCAGTCCATCTCTGGTAAATTCAATGCCTAAACAACATCGAAAGTCTCCAAAATCGTTTAACTCAAATCTGTTGCAAAGAAAAGATATCAGATCATTGACAATTTGTTGATTTCTAGATGCGATAACAGTATCATAGAAATAAAGAGCAATTGAGATCGATGCAGATCCTAACTCAATTCGATATAAACAAGGATCACCATTGGTCAGAGTAGCACCAACAAACTCAAAGCATCATCAAGCGGAAAATACCAACTTCGCCTGATTGTTTCAGTCCTTTTCGAAGTTTTCACACAACTGTCTTTCCGATCTCATTTTGTTCTCTACCGATCTCCACGATTTGGGGAGGCATCGCTTCAGTGCACTTCTTTGCATGAATTATCCAAATTAAATTTAGTCGCATTCCTTTGAGTAGCCCACAAAGGCACCTTCTCCAGTACGGGATTCGAATTTCCCTTTATGTGGTAATCTATTGATACATAATACTCGACAACCAAAAACTTGAATTGGCACACAATGTGCATTCTTCCGTGCCACAATTCGTACGGTGTTTTTTCACCAAGACTCTTCGTTGGGCAATGATTTGGTATATATTGCTGTGTGCCCCACGTTGGGCGTCAAATAAAAATTCTGTGTGCACTGGTCCGTAGGCCAGAAAGACCGTACACACAACACCAAAACAAAAACCTAGCTAGCTCTTTACCTTCACTTATTATCCCAGCACGAAACTTTCTCCCCAACCCAGAGGAGAGATCCGACTCTGTTCTCAGTTAAACTGTTAACTTCTAACAGATATTGTGTCAGACCAAATACCTTAAACTCCAAACCGAACTGCAAAATTTTGAATAATTAAAATGGACCTTGGGCAAGCCTCCAATGAACACACAGATAACTTAGAAATGAAGTCGTTAGAATGAAACATACGGTAAATTAATGTGAGAATTACAAAAGTGCGTTTTAGTCGTAACACACAAGGAAAATGGTACACACACACACACACCCTCTCACACACCCTCTCACACACACACACAAACAAATATTTAATTAGTTATATTACATGTCCGGGAATTGTAATCCAAATAAAAAAGGAATCTGTACACAAAAACAATTTTCAATTATCAACACAAATTACTACACTTTACACTGACGACCGGGTAATCTCAGCATCTTCACCTCGGGTAGACAAGGACGTTACAATAAAAAAAAACTCAACTTCAAAATGAGTCACGTTGTACAACAAACTTATGCGGGCTCCAACAAACACACCTCTCCTTGAAAAAAACAACACCTTTGATGGCCAAAACTCCAAACTTTAACACGTAGAACAAATAATTAGCCGCGATTTCGGCTTACGGCTACGCAAACGGAACTTCTTCTATCTTCAAACTCCCACTAGGCGAAACTTTCAATGCTGGCTGTCGCTTCAACACAAAAAAGTCCACGATGTAACTTGCAAGAAGCGAAATAAATTCCTCAACGAAACGTAGTTCGATGCTGCACGTAGCAAAAAACTGACTTCAAACTCCAACGATACGTAATACTGCGTAATTTTGCGCGAAGCCGATTTTTAAAACTTCAAAGGAACGTAGTTCCGCGATGAGCTTGGCCAAAAGCGACGCTCATCCTCTTCAAAATTTTATTAAAAGCGAAAACCTTCTTCCGAAAATCAAAATTATAACAACCGATCATACACAGTTGACAACAGAAAATATCCTCTCAACTTACGTTAATAGACCAAAATAATAGAGATCGAATAATTTTACTAAACAATTTCTTATCAGACATTAATTAACTATAATACTAGGAAAAATAAAAATTCATCTCCTTTAACTACACACAAAAGGCGATAAATCACATCCACCTGTCACGCTAAAATCGCATTACTGCCCTTTTTGAACACAATTTCGAATCCTTTGTTTGCAAGCGATTTTGCTAACCGATGTCAAGTTCGCACGTAAGTCTGGTACATGCAGAAAATCGATCAAATGTCTAGACTCACCCTGAATTTCAATACTAACGATGACACTACCTTGATCTCTAATTTCGGTCCAAGCACGATTTGTAAGATTCATATGTCCACTTGCATTATGGAGTTCCAAAAAATTGCTTACGTCGCTACAAGTATGAGCAGTGAGTGGATATGTCCTTCTTACAATTTGCTGTCTTAAGACCAATTTCTTTACATATATGGCAACGGTATTTAAACACATTTAAACACATGAGGTAATATTCTTGCAATTCCAATTTGATGAACAACGAGATCACTCAACAATGCATTGGAGGGAGCGAGACGCAACTCATTCTTTCTTGCATTGGTTTCTTCGATGATTTTGATTTTTAAAGTATCAGTAGCCGGTACTTTGTCTCGAGTTTCGATTGCGCATTTCAAGCTTTCCAAGCATGCGGGAAGACTATACAGTAGCGTTATCGCTAAAATATCTTCATTAATCTTCACTTCCATATATACAAACTTATCCTCGGCATCAAAAAATACGTTTATGTGTAATATGGTGATATCCAAAACAAGCCCTTATTGCGGTAAAACGTCAGGTAAAAAATAATGGCGTACCGAGAAAAATTAGCACGCAACCGCTGTGAAGGAAACATCGTCTCTGCTCGAAAGGAACGGAAAAGATACGCAAGATCAAATTAAAGAAGGGATCGCATTAGAAGTATCACAGATGGCCTCTAGCGACAAGAGAATGAACTGAGGTAATAACAAATCTTCTATAGAAATAACTTACATACTTTACAAAACAAATATCTTGATGGTTTAGAATATATATTTAAATGAGATTGTATTTAAAATGCGAAAGGGGCGAAAGTATACGCAGCTCAAATGTATACATTTCAGAAAAAGTCCCTGTATATTTTATAATGAAAACATTGCACTTATCTATTATAAAACTAATGAGCTAATTACTTTAAATTTTTTAAACGAAATTGTAATCATCGAGCCGCTCCAATTTAATGATGCTTGATTAGATTTGTTAGTGCCTAATAGGGCTTCCAATAGCTAGACGACATTTTCGCCCTTGGTTCTCTCTGTGATTTTGCACTGTGCACGTTTTTCGCACGTTTTTGATGAACTCTTTAATTTATATATGGTCTAAGCTAAGAATTCCCGTACAGTACTTGCATTAGTAGTGTTCAAATATCCATATTGTCGACACCAATTATCTGTATTGGGACGTTAATTAAATATGTACATTGCATCCGGGTCCTAAACGAGCACGATCCGTTTGCATTATAGGTGTTCTAGTATGCTATGATATAATAACATGGTTTGCCCTGTCAGTGATCTCGAACCCAAACGCACACTCCTGAACCGTCCGTCTCGGTCGTCAAATTTTTGACACGGATTTCAAGGTTGTGAAGTCAGTTGCTGTCATAAATGTAAGCAGTTATAAAAGCGGGAGAGGAAACCGAAACTGAAGAAATAGTACGTCATGTTTATACAGTCCGACAAATGAGCGAACAGATCTAATTAAGACAATAGC